TTTGAAGACATAAATATTATATCCTTTGTCACAAAGACAAAGGATTGAACTTGCTATTTCTAACAATGGCCAGTTGTTAGAAATAGGCAAAATGCAAAATCATCACACTTATGTGAATGATAACGATGAATGCAAAAATGAAAATATTTTCTGGACATGTATTGAAGAGGTCCAATAATTGATGTCAAGAATAGTGGAAACTTTGGCAGTTTCGTTCGTGTTCTCACTTCAATATGTAACTGAAACTTGACGGCATTTTGTGCTCCAAGATCGAAACATAGAAATACTAAGAAACCAAAGAAATCGATCATTCCTTCGAACAAATAGGACTCATAACGATGCTTTGAATATGCTGTAACGAGAATTCACATCACAATTGGGTTATACATTTTAATTCATCGATCTCAAACTTACATCTTTATGTCATCGACGATTTTTCTGTATTTAACCTGCCGCTTTCAAACATGGCTAAAATATCTCAACCGTGTCATGTCTTCAGTTGCTCGTCCTTTCCAACAAGTAGTCGCATTTCTTGAAGGCTGTCTTCGACTTTCAACAGACTTTCACCTTTCCCAGACGAACAGCTCGGTCAAATAGGGTTATCGAAGTGAAAGACCCTACTTTTCTTCTGATAACTTTCATATATCACATGAATTAATTATTAATTCATTCGTCAATTTTGTTCAAACCATGATAAAAAGGGATTAAATTCATTGATTGCATGAAAATATATGCAGGGCAAAGACAAAAGGAATTAAGCCTGGTTATAAGTTAACTAACGACATTGGTTAGTAAAAGAAAGCAAAGCCTCAGAGGTTTGGAGAAACAAAAGAATATTTCTTTTGTTTCCTCAATGAAGAGTTTGCGAAATCAATGATTGTAAGGTTATGACGGCAGACAGAGCATGTCGTGTTGTGGTAAATTTTATCTAGTATGAACAAAAATTATCTCACCCAAAACCGCAATTCAATGCACCATAGCTAGGAGAGTTATCATTTTTCTCCCACCTGACCACCTTTATTCAACTTGTTACGTCAACAAATAAATTAGAAGGCATATCAATAGCTTAATTTATTCACGTGGGAATCACCCACATGTTATAGAAAAGCTTTTGTCGTGCTCAATACTTATTATGAACATTGGAGCCCTGCTTATTGCAATAATACACTTGCCATTGTAAAATGGAATGTAATAATTTAACGAGAGAATTTTATTGACAGAACTAAATGGTAGCAAGTGATTCATTTTAGCAATCCTAATAGGATGGGACAAAGGGAAAGAATGAGAGGTAAGTTCGTTTTCAAATAATTATCTTTAGCGATGTAACGATAGCAGGACTTTCAAATGCGGTAAATGTTTTGTGGGAAAAGCGCGATTGTTTCTTTTCCGTGGTTGTAATCCTTAAAATTACATTATTAACAGTAAAACTGAACAAATTGAAAGCTTTTTTCTTATATTTTGTTCAACGAGTTCATTTCCTTGATCAAACCATGATGAAAATTTATCCAATCACATTTACATTAAAGTTTTTTAAACTTCAAGATTTCCCCACATTCATTTAGCTTAAATCCCGCATGATAAACGAATGATATCTCTAATCAAAGATGATCACGCAGTCTCCGATTTTTTAGGAATGAAAATAGGTTTTACGTTAATTGGTTTATGTTTGGCGTAAGGTGAAGCCGGTGATCCAACAATTAACACGTGATTACCCTTTAACCATAATCTCCACATGCTTTTATGAAATCCTCGAGCATCTAAGTCCCAGATTCGTAAACATCTCGCTATATTATTCCATGTTGTCCAGTCGTTAGCATGTTTCATTTCAATATAAAATATATATGTTTTATCAGATGTTTCTGAACAAAGTCTTTCTCGTTCTTGCAAGGATTTTACTGTGATCCAACGGCTCTGCCAACCTGTAAAAACAGTAGATAGACATCTCTAACAATCAAATGACATAAAATATGATGATAATTATCACTGAATCACTAAGTAGAAATCTCCTTCATTGTCCTGTAAGAAAAAAATATTATTGTCAATATTTATAAAATTCTGCAAGACATACCTACAAGCCGTTCAATCTCCTTCTCATAATTTTCTTTTTTCAACAATCCAACATTAAACTTAACGTTAGGTTCAGTATTCAACGTATGTTTTTTGAAATAGGATTCTTGAAAAAATACATTCATATTCAGGCCTTTGGCGCCAAAATGCTAGGTTCTTGAGATATCCGAATGATACATTCACGTCCCTTTGTTGCTGTCCATCCTCATCCACATATCCCAATCCCAAAAGAGATCAGGGTTGGCCATTTTGGCTCAAGTTCTCTTTATAAAGTCGTCGTTTGAGCAACCTGTTAATGCAAAGAGAAATAATAGATAGAATGAAGTTTATACTATCTATACATTTATAGTGCTGCGTGATGTCATTGTGGCGTGATGTCATTGCAGCGTGAGGTCATTGTAGCGTGATGTCATTGCAGCGTGATGTGCTTGTAGTGTGATGTCATTGTAGCATGACGTCACTGTTGCGTGCGATGTCATAGCGTAAACAAAATCATTTGTAGTAATAAAATTCTCACCAGCCTAAACCAGGCATTGTTTCTACACGATATAACATTGCAGGATCATTACATGTGTGATCATAACCCTAAAAATAGAAATACGTTTTTGCAATTAAATCATTAATCACATAAATTAGTTTTTCAATGGATGTACCATTTCTAAGGTAAATTTCTAAATTTCACTTGATGTGCAAGGAAGGAAGCTCGATAAAGACAAACATAATGTAACCAAAGAAAACTACAATAAGATAACAGATTTTGTACGAGATTTCCATTTTCCATTATAATGTGAAAAATATTTGAGATTTATTTAATTTACATTCTGCACTCTCGTCAGAGATAAACTGGACTCGACAAAAAAAGCAAAAAGAATCAGAGACGTTCAAAACCACGTTAATAAAGTTGAAAACGAATTAAAATTTTGTTGTGTAGCAAACACAAGCCAACAATAGAGTAAAAGACTAAAAAGATGAAAAGAATGTTGTTAGCTTTTGTTTATAACAAACCTGATCATTCCACGCCAATATACAGTACAGACTTTCATCTGTATCCATTAAAGGCAAAAATTGATTAAAATAACTAAATATGTCCACAGATACGTCTAAATCTTCTTCCAAAATAATCATATACTGAGCATTGGGATAAGCATTAAACGTCTCTGTCAATGTTCGCTTGTAATGCTGGGAGGAAGAGAAAATACATTTAAAAGTAATAAAAGGAACGAAAAATTTTGATTACATCGTGTAAACACTCTCAAAGAAAAGCCTTACCAACCGATATTCTAGCGTTCTTACTGCATAGGAATATGCTACGACTTTACATCATATAGCCTTGCCACAGCAGCTGGTTCTTCAAAGAATCCATCAATAAATACAGTAAATAACTCCTTCTTTGCTCCATGAGCTGACAACATTGACCGTAAGCCACGATAAAGATAATGTGGCCTGTTACTAGCAATCACAGCAACAGGAATGTCTTGAACTTTTTCTAACTTCAACGGTGTTGTTTTAATTTCAATTGGAGCAGGATTATTACCCTACAACATTTAAGAACATATTCTGTCAGTTCTTCATATCGTTCTAACATTAGCTGCAATAACAGTGATATCCTTATTTCTACAATTTTTTCCATGGAGTATTCTCAGAATATTTTCTCGAAGTTTTAATGCACAATGTGAACAAAATTACTGAACACATCGCTGTACGTTCAATTAAATAAGAAATCTAATCCTACATGGATGTAACGAAAAGATACTTACAACTGCATACACTTCCATAGCCTTCAAACTTATCACAAAACACTTCGCTTTGATTTTCACTGTCATCCCAAGCACAATGAGATTGTTTAGCAGGAACAAGAGGAACTGTACACGAGCAGTGACAGGCTCACCCCAGTTCGATATGTCTGCCGCGTGATGATGTTTCTCTGAGTATTTTGGCCACGTTTTGTGACGATAAATGACCAGCTATCCCGCCATTTTAGTTCATCGGCATAAACACTACCAAGACTTGTGAGCAAAAGCAATATCGGCGATCATGTAAAGACACAGTTCTCCACGTAAAAGGATTCTTTAAGAAACCTTACAAGTGTCAAGGAATTATTAACTTGTAGCATTATTTTTCCATCTGTTAAAATGACTTCAATACGATCGGAAATATACGTACTGACTTAATGGTCATTGTTTGCACTCTATTTTCCATTTGACTTGGTGCAAGCAAAATGGTAGTTCAGTATAATGAGCGAATTTGCGCAAATTTAAGGGAGACTGGCAACCGGCAAAATTTCATTGCTATCTTACAATTGGTTCATTTGAATTTTGTTTTTATTGTGATTGGTTTGACGGATTTCGACTGATAGCCAACTGAAATAACATAGTCAAGCTCACTGTCTGAATTGAATGTTTGATCGTTTCATAGCAATTTTATAAGCATGATAGAAACTGAAACTACAATCAGATGGATTTTATGGAAATCTTTACAAATTCATATATTGACATGAATGAAGCTGTCCAAACTGTGAATTTTTTCAAGAGGGTGAAAATTTATGGATAAATTGTAAATGCTTGGCGAAGACGATCTCAAGTGAGCGACATTTCAGTCATTGATGTTCAAAAGAAAGCCAACATTGTTTTGAGTTTTATCAGCAGAAATTTACATCCAAATCGTAGGTATGGACGAGAGATTCTCGCCACAAAAGTAGTTTACTGGATGGCACTGTGTTTCTGCCTTTATTCCAAAGCCATCATTAGAGAATACATATAATATATTAACTTTAACACGGTTTTGTAATAATATGCACATGAAAACATGGACTTAATGAACTTTGAACTGCACCTTCAGGATACTAGTCCGCCGCTCAACCTGTTCAGCTACCAAGCCCACATGGATTGAGACCAGTCAAATCTCTTTAAACTGCGTTTGACAGTGGCGGATCTAGGATTTTCAAAACATCAGTCATAAAACGTCTTTAAACATTTTACAGTCTTTAAAAATTTCTACCAAGTTGTCAGGCATAAACCTAGAGACCCCCATTCAAACCTCTATGTAACGGTTGTTAGAAATTTGGTACTAAGTGACAGTTCATAGATATAGAAAAGCTCAGACTTCAAACCATGCAAGTTTATTGTAACCCTTTACCCATCTCCACATCAGTGTCAGCAAATTCACTTTTTGAGAAAAAACTCAAAATTTTTCTGCCAAAGATTAAGCAAAAATTATCAGAGTAAAAATTTGCAGTTAAGGACAGCTTAATGTCATAAATGTTTATTAGGCATTTCACTAGACTATTATCTTCTGTAAGTATATGCAAGGTGTGCTATATAGCAATCACTAGTAGCATTGTATTTGCAAATACAAACAGAATGTAACCAACATGTCTTTAATTATATAATTACATGAATGTTATATTTGGTTCATGTCATGCTTACTGGTTATGATAAATATCTTTGATATGATCAAAGCTCGCTTGATCTGAAATAATTTAGTTTAGAAATTATAATGATCATCAGAAAATTACATAGTGATCATGAAAATACTTTGCTGTTTTGCCAAATTTCAAGGTTTATCTGCATACATAGGAAGACATTTACTCTATAAAAATGCTTTTCATACATCAATAGCCCTTTGATTTTATGGCAAACTTTGGATTTTATGGTATGAGCCATAGATTAACACACCTTTACATCTCTACATGAGGTGTTCAGTTTGAAAAGGGGACAATATGTGACATGGGACAACATTTCATGTATGTGAAATACTCAGGTTTAATACCATTCCAGTCAAATTGTCAAAATAAAAGCTTCATGGATCAGAAGACTCAAAATCACAGGTTATAGTAAACAGCTTCTCATGTAATCAATGTTAGTTTTTCAAATCTTAAACAATATGTAGTATAACTGTCCAATGATTGAATGATCAATGATCATAAACTGAAAAGCCCCAAACATTTGCTTATGATAAAGTAAATAATAGTATGGCGCCTTATGGCTACAGATTTTTGTCCATTGAAATATATTTGCAGGAATGTAGGATTTTGCTGCCATATAACGGCCACGATTCCCAAGCACTAAAGAAATTATAGCTAAACTCCTTCAAACAACAATTTTAGAAGCATCAATCTGCTTACCATATGCCATATTGACATAAATCGCATCACATACTGCATAAATTGACTTTGATATATTACATTCATGCATACACTTCACTTGTCCTTTACTTACGATTTTGATGTAAATTTCTGCTGATAAAACTCAAAACAATGTTGGCTTCTTTGAACATCAATGACTGAAATGTCGCTCGCGAGATCGTCTTCGCCAAGCATTTACAATTTATCCATAAATTTTTCACCCTCTTGAAAAATTCACAGTTTGGACAGCTTCATTCATGTCAATATATGAATTTGTAAAGATTTCATAAAATCCATCTGATTGTAGTTTAGTTTCTATCATGCTTATAAAATTGCTATGAAACGATCAAACATTCAATTCAGACAGTGAGCTTGACTATGTTAGTTCAGTTGGCTATCAGTCGAAATCCGTCAAACCAATCACAATAAAACAAAATTCAAATGAACCAATTGTAAGATAGCAATGAAGTATTTGCCGGTTGCCAGTCTCCTTAAATTTGCGCAAATTTGCTCATTATACTGAACTACCATTTTGCTTGCACCAAGTCAAATGGAAGAGAAATGGAGTGAACAATGACCATTAAGTCGAGTACGTATATTTCCGATCGTATTGAAGTCACATTTTAACAGATGGAAAAATAATGCTACAAGTTAATAATCCTTGACACTTGTAAGAGTTTTAAAGAATCCTTTACGTGGAGAACTGTGTCTTTACATGATCGCCGATATTGCTTTTGCTCACAAGTCTTGGTAGTGTTTATGCCGATGAACTAAAATGGCGGGATAGCTGGTCATTTATCGTCACAAAACGTGGCCAGAAATACTCAGAGAAACATCATCACGCAGACATATCGAACTGGGGTGAGCCTGTCACTGCTCGTGCACAGTTCCTCTTGTTCCTGCTAAACAATCTCAATGTTTGGGATGACAGTGAAGAATTCAAAGCGAAGAAGAATGTTTTGTGATAAGTTTGAAGGCTATGGAAGTGTATGCAGTTGTAAGTATCTTTTCGTTACATCCATGTAGGATTAGATTTCTTATTTAATTGAACGTACAGCGATGTGTTCAGTAATTTTGCCATTCACATTGTGCATTAAAACTTCGAGAAAATATTCTGAGAATACTCCATGGAAAAATTGTAGAAATAAGGATATCACTGTTATTGCAGCTAATGTTAGAACGATATGAAGAACTGACAGAATATGTTCTTAAATGTTGTAGGTAATAATCCTGCTCCAATTGAAATTAAAACAACACCGTTGAAGTTAGAAAAGTTCAAGACATTCCTGTTGCTGTGATTGCTAGTAACAGGCCACATTATCTTTATCGTGGCTTACGGTCAATGTTGTCAGCTCATGGAGCAAAGAAGGAGTTATTTACTGTATTTATTGATGGATTCTTTGAAGAACCAGCTGCTGTGGCAAGGCTATATGATGTAAAAGTCGTACAGCATATTCCTATTAGCAGTAAGAACGCTAGAATATCACAGGTTGGTAAGGCTTTTTCTTTGAGAGTGTTTACACGATGTAATCAAAATTTTTCGTTCCTTTTATTACTTTTAAATGTATTTTCTTCCTCCCAGCATTACAAGCGAACATTGACAGAGACGTTTAATGCTTATCCCAATGCTCAGTATATGATTATTTTGGAAGAAGATTTAGACGTATCTGTGGACATATTTAGTTATTTTAATCAATTTTGCCTTTAATGGATACAGATGAAAGTCTGTACTATATGGCGTGGAATGATCAGGTTTGTTATAAACAAAAGCTAACAACATTCTTTTCATCTTTTAGTCTTTTACTCTATTGTTGGCTTGTGTTTGCTACACAACAAAATTTTAATTGTTTTCAACTTTATTAACGTGGTTTTGAACGTCTCTGATTCTTTTGCTTTTTTGTCGAGTCCAGTTTATCTCTGACGAGTGCAGAATGTAAATTAAATAAATCTCAAATATTTTTCACATTATAATGGAAAATGGAAATCTCCGACAAGAATCTGTTATCTTATTGTAGTTTTCATTGGTTACATTATGTTTGTCTTTATCGAGCTTCCTTCCTTGCACATCACAAAGTGAAATTTAGGAAATTTACCTTAGAAATGGTACATCCATTGAAAACTAATTTATGTGATTAATGATTTAATTGCAAAACAAGTATTTCTATTTTTAGGGTTATGATCACACATGTAATGATCCTGCAATGTTATATCGTGTAGAAACAATGCCTGGTTTAGGCTGGTGAGAATTTTTATTACTACAAATGATTTTGTTTACGCTATGACATCACGCAACAGTGACGTCATGCTACAATGACATCACACTACAAGCAATATCACGCTGCAAATGACATCACCACAATGACATCAATGCGCAGCACTATAAATGTATAGATAGTATAAACTTCATTCTATCTATTATTTCTTTGCATTAACAGGTTGCTCAAACGACGACTTTATAAAGAAGAACTTGAGCCAAAATGGCCAACCCTGATCCCTTTGGGATTGGGATATGTGGATGAGGATGGACAGCAACAAAAGGGACGTGAATGTATCATTCCGGATATCTCAAGAACCTAGCATTTTGGCGCCAAAGGCCTGAATATGAATGTATTTTTTCAAGAATCCTATTTCAAAAAACATACGTTGAATACTGAACCTAACGTTAAGTTTAATGTTGGATTGTTGAAAAAGAAAATTATGAGAAGGAGATTGAACGGCTTGTAGGGTATGTCTTGTAGGATTTTATAAAATATTGACAACAATATTTTTCTTTTCACAGGACAATGAAGGAGATTTCTACTTAGTGATTCAGTGATCTAATTATCATCATAGTGCGTATATTTATGTCATTTGATTGTTAGAGATGTCTATCTACTGTTTTTTACAGGTTGGCAGAGCCGTTGGATCACAGTAAAAATCCTTGCAAGAACGAGAAAGACTTTGTTCCAGAAACATCTGATAAAACATATATATTTTATATTGAAATGAAACATGCTAACGACTGGACAACATGGAATAATATAGCGAGATGTTTACGAATCTGGGACTTAGATGCTCGAGGATTTCATAAAAGCATGTGGAGATTATGGTTAAAGGGTAATCACGTGTTAATTGTTGGATCACCGGCTTCACCTTACGCCAAACATAAACCAATTAACGTAAAACCTATTTTCATTCCTAAAAAATCGGAGACTGCGTGATCATCTTTGATTAGAGATATCATTCGTTTATCATGCCGGATTTAAGCTAAATGAATGGGGAAATCTTGAAGTTTAAAAACTTTAATGTAAATGTGATTGGATAAATTTTCATCATGGTTTGATCAAGGAAATGAACTCGTTGAACAAGAAATATAAGAGAAAAAGATAACTTTCAATTTGTTCAGTTTTACTGTTAATAATGTAATTTTAAGGATTACAACCACGGAAAAGAAACAATCCCCACAAAACATTTACCGCATTTGAAAGTCCTGCTATCGTTACATCGCTAAAGATAATTATTTGAAAACGAACTTACCTCTCATTCTTTCCCTTTGTCCCATCCTATTAGGATTGCTAAAATGAATCACTTGCTACCATTTAGTTCTGTCAATAAAATTCTCTCGTTAAATTATTACATTACATTTTACAATGGCAAGTCATATTATTGCAATAAGCAGGGCTCCAATGTTCATAATAAGTATTGAGCACGACAAAAGCTTTTCTATAACATGGGTGATTTCCACGTGAATAAATTACTTTTGATATGCCTTCTAATTTATTTGTTGACGTAACAAGTTGAATAAAGGTGGTCAGGTGGGAGAAAATGATAACTCTCCTAGCTATGGTGCATTGAATTGCGGTTTTGGGTGAGATAATTTTTGTTCATACTAGATAAAATTTACCACAACACGACATGCTCTGTCTGCCGTCATAACCTTACAATCATTGATTTCGCAAACTTTCATTGAGGAAACAAAAGAAATATTCTTTGTTTTCTCCAAACCTCTGGGGAAAAGGCTTTGCTTTCTTTTACTAACCAATGTCGTTAGTTAACTTATAACCAGGCTTAATTCCTTTTGTCTTTGCCCTGCATATATTTTCATGCAATCAATGAATTTAATCTCTTTTTATCATGGTTTGAACAAATTGACGAATGAATTAATAATTAATTCATGTGATATATGAAAGTTATCAGAAGAAAAAGTAGGGTCTTTCACTTCGATAACCCTATTTGACCGAGCTGTTCGTCTGGGAAAGGTGAAAGTCTGTTGAAAGTCGAAGACAGCCTTCAAGAAATGCGACTACTTGTTGGAAAGGACGAGCAACTGAAGACATGACACGGTTGAGATATTTTAGCCATGTTTGAAAGCGGCAGGTTAAATACAGAAAAATCGTCGATGACATAAAGATGTAAGTTTGAGATCGATGAATTAAAATGTATAACCCAATTGTGATGTGAATTCTCGTTACAGCATATTCAAAGCATCGTTATGAGTCCTATTTGTTCGAAGGAAATCGATTTCTTTGGTTTCTTAGTATTTCTATGTTTCGATCTTGGAGCACAAAATGCCGTCAAGTTTCAGTTACATATTGAAGTGAGAACACGAACGAAACTGCCAAAAGTTTCCCACTATTCTTGACATCAATTATTGGACCTCTTCAATACATGTCCAGAAAATATTTTCATTTTTGCATTCATCGTTATCATTCACATAAGTGTGATGATTTTGATTTTGCCTATTTCTAACAACTGGCCATTGTTAGAAATAGTAGTTCAACTTTTGTCTTTGTGACAAAAGGATATAATATTTATGTCTTCAAAGAGTTGTTCATTAACATACATGTTCAGTCATGTACAGTGTCGAGCGTACGGACAGTGAAAGAACGCGAACTCTGGCAGTGGTATAAAGTAAACAATTGTTTGTTTCATTAAACAAATAACTCTTCTTCAGTCTTTTTTAGGTACAAGAGATGAAGATGAGGAAGAAGATAGAGGAGTACGTTATTATTTTCCTGTCCTTATCTTAACTTGTTTTAGATTTTCGTTTAGATGAGGATGAGGCTGATGAAAAGTAGAGGAGGATGCTGACGGAGACAAGAAGAATGGTGATGAAGAGACGAGGATGCTGATGAAGAGAAAAGGAGGATGGTGATGAAGAAACGAGGATGCAGCTAAAGAGAAAGGAGGATGCAGATGAAGGGACGAGGAGGATGAAATGAATGGACAAGGAGGCTCATCAAGAACGGACAAGGAGGATAAGAAGGATATAGAGAAGTATACATTTTTTTTCCTGTCATAATCGTAACTTGATTTTTAGGTACTCTGTTTAGATGAGGAGGATGCTAATGCAGAAACGAGGAGGATGCTGATGAAGAGACGAAGATGCTGATGAAGGGAGTATGGATGTAGATGAAGAGAGGAGGATCCTGACAAGAGAGGAGGATGCAGATGAGAGAGGGAGTATGCAGATGAAGAGGTTCGAAGAGGATGGACATGAGGGAGGTGTAGATGAGAGTGGATGTGATGAGAGAGGATGCAGATGAAGAGGAGAGGATACCGATGAAGAGACGACGAGGATGCAGATGAAGAGACGAGGGAGGATGTAGATGAAGAGACGAGAATGGGTGATTATCTTGATTATATATATAGAATATTTGTATATTAATATATAATTGAGGTAAGTCATTTGATATTGCAACATGAGGGCAGAATGTTGCAAAATCTTTAAACTCGATAGTCTTTATAAACCTTAGTGCCTTACCGTAATAATCAAACAACCTTTTGGATGAAATCGGAAGAGTTGAGCAGAGAATATATTGCATGAGACATTCGTTAATTATCTTGTTTTTATCTAGGTATTTTTGAATTATATCGCATGTAATAAATCGTTTGACAATGTTAGAACACTGCATGTGTTGTAACATTGAGGGGTGTTACAGCACAATGCAAGGTTCAAAACGATAAGCTTTCCGCGAGTGTTATAATCTTCAAAGAGTTGTTCACTTAACATACATGTTCAATCATGCAGTCATGGATATCGATGTTTTAGCATGATAGAACTATAACAATGTGAAAGCACGATCTCCATAATCACTGCTATGATTTTCATTCAACAATTTTGTTGCATTTATGGACATGTCGGGCTTACGGACAATGAAAACACGAACCCTAACAGTGGTATGTGCTACAATTGTTTGTTTCCACAAACAAATAACTCTTCTTCAGTCTATTTTTAGGCACTAGAGACGATGATCAAGAAGAAGATATAGAAGTATGTTATTTTTTTCTGTCATAATCTTAACTTGATTTTAGATGTTCTGTTAAGATGAGGAGGATGCAGATGAAGATACAAGGAGGATGTAGATGGAGAGACAAGAAGGATGCAGATGGAAAGACGAGGAGGATGCAGATGAAGAGACGAGGAGGATCAGATGAAGAGACAAGAACGATGGTGGAAAGACAGGAGGATGCAGATGAAGAGAGACAAGAAGGATGATGAAGAGACGAGAGGATGCAGATGAAGAGACAAGGAGGATGCAGATGGAAAGACGAGGAGGATGCAGATGAAGAGACAAGAAGGATGCAGATGAAGAGACGAGGAGGATGCAGATGAAGAGACAAGAGGATGTGATGAAGAGATGAGGGAGGATGCAGATGAAGAGACGGAGGATGCAGGATGGAAAGACGAGGAGGTTGTAGATAGAAAGACGAAAGACTGGTGATGGAAAGACAAGGAGGATGCAGATGGAAAGAAGAGGAGATGAAAATGAAAGATCTAGAAGGATGATGAAAGATGAGGAGGATGTGGATGGAAAGACGAGAAGGATGCAGATGGAAAGACGAGAAGGATGCAGATGAAAGACAAGGAGGATGCAGATGAAAAGACAAGGAGGATGCAGATGAAAGATGAGGAGGATGCAGATGGAAAGACGAGGAAGGATGCAGATGGAAAGACGAGAAGGATGCAGATGGAAAGATGAGAAAGACAATAGATGGAAAGAAGGATGAAGATGGAAAGACAAGGAACATGGATGGAGAGGACGAAGGATGGCATGAAGAGACGGAAGGATTCAGATGGATGGAGGATGGATGGAAAAGAGGGGAGGGATGGAAAGATGGATGGATGGAAAGATGAGAAGGATGGATGGATGAAGGGATGGATGGAAAATGGAGGAAGATGGACAGAAGGATGGATGAAGGATGGAAAGGATGAGATGGAAAGGATGCAGATAGAAAGACAAGGAGGATGCAGATGGAAAGAAGAGGAGGATGCAAATGGAAAGACGAAGGATGCAGATGGAAAGACGAGAAGGATGCAGATGGAAAGACGAGAAGGATGCAGATGGAAAGACGAGAAGGATGCAGATGGAAAGACGAGAAAGATACAGATGGAAAGACGAGAAGATGCAGATGGAAAGACAAGGAAGATGGGATGGAGACGAGAAGGATGCACATGAAGAGACGAGAAGGATTCAGATGGAAAGGCGAGAAAGGATGCAGATGGAAAGAAGAGGAGGATGCAGATGGAAAGAAGAGGAGGACAAATGGAAAGACGAGAGGATGCAGATAGAAAGACAAGGAAGATGCAGATGGAAAGACGAGAAGGATGCACATGAAGAGACGAGAAGGATGCACATAAAGAAACGAGAAGGATGCACATGAAGAGACGAGGAATTAAACATTACTCAATTATATATTACAGAATTGTATATTCTGTAATATATAATTGAGGTAATTGTTAATTATTTGATATTGCAACATGCGGGCAGAGTGTTGCAAAATCTTTATAAACCTTAGTGCCTTACCGAAATAATTAAACAACCTTTTGGATGAAATCGAAAAGAGTTGAGCAGAGAATATATTGCATGAGACATTCGTTAATTATCTTGTTTTTATCTAGGTATTTTGAATTATATCGCATGTAATAAATCGTTTGACAATGTTATAGAACACCATGTGTTATAACATTGAGGGGTGTTATAACACAATGCACGGTTCAAACGATAAGCCCGCGAGTCTTATAATCTTCAAAGAGTTGTTCACTTAACATACATGTTCAATCATGTACAGTCATGGATATCAATGTTTTAGCATGATAAAACTATTACAATGCGAAAGCACGATCTCCATAATCACTTGCCATGATATTGTTGTTGCATTTTATAGACATGTCGAGCGTACGGACAGTGAAAGAACGCGAACTCTGGCAGTGGTGGTGCTTACAATTGTTTGTTTCCATCAAACAAATAACTTCTTCAGTCTTTTTAGGTACAAGAGATGAAGATCAAGAAGAAGATAGAGAGGAGTACGTTATTATTTTTTCCTGTCCTAATCTTAACTTGTTTTAGATTTTCGTTTAGATGAGGAGGAGGCTGATGAAAAGAAGAGGATGCTGACGGAGAGACGAGGAAGATGCTGACGGAGCTACGAGGAGGATGCTGATGGTGCTACGAAGAGGATGCTGATGGTCCACGAGGAGGATGCGATGGATGATGGCGCGAGGAGGATGCTGATGGTCCTACGAGGAGGATGCTGATGGTCCTACGAGGAGGATGCTGATGGTCCTACGAGGAGGATGCTGATGGCGCTACGAGGAGGATGCTGATGGTGCTACGAGGAGGATGCTGATGGTGCTACGAGGAGGATGCTGATGGTGCAGCGAGGAGGATGCTGATGGCGTTACGAGGTGGATGCGATGAAGCAACGAAGAGGATGCTGATGGAGCGACGAAGAGGATGCTGATGGAGCGACGAAGAGGATGCTGACGGAGAGACGGAAGCATGCTGATGGAGAACAAGATGAAAACAAGATGAGGTATAAAAATTTTTTTATTTGTTTCACTGACTTGTAGCTTAGTGACTTCAGTCTTTTTTCAGGTTTATGTGTTTGTTTTTATTGTGTCGCTAATTTGTTCTTTGGCTATCTTTTAGATTTTTAAGAAATCTTGGATTTTGAGAGAGCATATATACTCTGTTGAATTGGCGATTTTACTAAGTCAGAGAGTTCCCTCGCTCTCTGACTTAGAAAACGAATTTTGTGGTAAAGTATTTCAAAGTAGGCTCCTGCCACCTATTTTGGAATAATGTTGTACAAATTTCTATTAAGTAATGATTTTAGAATAATAATGTTGTTTGAAAAGCATTTATGCCGTGATGAATAAATAACATCCATCGGTAGTTTTGAAACGACTGTCAGCTTAAAATATGCATATGTATTTAAATTAAACATGGTCACCATGCCAGCAAGTGTCAGCGTTTGATAAATGTTTTTCGAAATACGCTTTTCAATGCAATATGGAAATTTGTCATCATAACGTGCACAAAATCGCTGTTTCGTAATAATATATACGCAATTTTAACAAATATTTAATGATGTTTGGGGCTGTTTTCATTCAACCGTAGCTATAGTGTGTTTTCTTTTGACGTCATATAAGCCATGTTGGGAGAGTACATGAGAGTGTCGAAGCTCAGCAAAGCATAAAATTAGCAGAAATTCTTTTCACTGTATGGAATTTTGCCCCAACATGGTAACTGATGAAAACAATTTAGAGGAAGAAATCATTAAGGTGTAAAATGATTTTCATCAGCTGGCAATCCATTTGGGACTTTTCACAGTATTTTAATTCACGAAAATTTACATAAAACGTACAAAATGACATACCTCGCAACAAGTATAAAACATGTGAAAATTGATCATCAAATTTACTGGCATTTCCCAGTATAGTAGCGGCATCTTCTTTCATGTTTAGAGATTATTTTACACCTCAATGTTTTCTACTCATGTCCTTAGACCCAAAAAAATTTACATCTGTAATGTAATGTATGATAAACTTAAGAATAAATTTAAGAGAAAGGAACTTCAAACGACTTCAAGTAATATGTAAGTTTTAGCAAGTAAAAATGTTCGTACAATAAATGATAAAACAATCTCCAAACATTGTTTAAGATTTTAGACATTAAGCTGGCTTGAAGACCACTGTTTTTGCAAAAATTCGGCAATTTCGAAGTGATGTATTTCGCCCGTACCTTCAATGGCGGCGCTCATGCAGGCTTCAAAGATGGCGTCCAAGTTAGCCTTCCAGTTGTTGTAGAGTTCACTGGGTTTAAATAAGGTCGAGATCATAGATATAGTAGGACTAGATTGCTAACGAGCCGCCATATTGCGTGACATCCATGATAAATCCAAGATGGCGTGGGAACCGGGCAAAAAACATGGAGTCACTATAGGGCAATTGATTTTTCAAATTTACTTTCTCATTGTTTTCTAAACTCATCCGATGAAGTTTTATTGAAACAAATCTTTATTTCAAGTGTTTTGAAACCATATTGACAATTATAATTGAAATAGTTAGTGAAAAAATATCGCTTTCGAAATATTGTGTGTAAATTGTCGTTTGGTTGTTTCAAGTCGTTTGTCCAATTAAGAGAAACAGATTTTTTCAGCTTTAACTCCTATACTGATTTGTTACGCATCGGAAAAATGTCATATTGACAATTTACAGGAAAGATTGGGAATCAATGAATATTTTGACAAAAAGCGACTTATTCGAGAAAGCACTCTAATTGCAATTTCGTAATTGATATATGTGAGATATGTGAGATTCAAAACATCGGTTTGAAAAAGGCCATCCGACTTGAATGAATGAAAAAGAGGAGTATGACATACATAACACTGCAGCACTATTATCTACTGACAAGATCTTAGTGAAGCTATTAAAGTTAGTAAACTTTAACTGGAAGGAAACTTCTACTCATCTCAAGTAATTTTATCCAGGAGCATTGGCTATACTGATGAGATCTTACAGACAAGTGGTTCAACGAAAGAGAAGAACTTATGTTCAGGAAGCTTGTTATATATTAACAGTGGCTATTTCAAAATCTGACACATAATTACATTCAAACACATAACCCAAGATACTGTTACAATACTATTTTTGAGAGAGTTATAAGGCTCTGTATAAAGCATTTTTTTACCAAAGCTAAGGTGTTCATTAAATTTATATATTATCTTATGAAATATTTGATATGGATGTCATCGGTGGCATATCCAGAATGAATGTTTTACACTTGCTATGTAAATTTTACTGCATCATTGCTCATTTCATTAGGAAATTCATTGTTTTTACAGTGAGTGAACACAGCAAGATTGAGATAGCATAAGCAAATAAAAATGCTGGCTATGACTGAGATTATTACAAGATATAGCTGTGAATAAAATATATGTGACTTTTATGCTATCATACTTAGTTATAATATATGTTTTATTATGCTATAGCTACAACACCATCTATGATACCAGTTGTTTCCAATGGCAATGCAATTTTATAATCATTAAATGTTTAAATTGGTCAGATAGATAGTTCACTATACCACGACGAAAATTGCATGTAATTTACAAACTTTGGCGTCACGTTCATTTGCTATAATAAAATTTACAATAAATATTTTATTATTGATTGAACTATGGACGAATAAGAAAATTCATATCTAGAAATGACATGAATGAAAGGCAAAAGTAAATAAAAATGTGACTATTTTTGACCAATGACATTAGGATGTTGATAGTGGTTACAATGGATGATAGTGGATAATTATAGACATGCTTTCAAAATGGCGTATGCTGAACAATTTTATTTTCAGTCAACTTGGAGCACACTTAATCATTTTATGGCAAGAATAGGTAAATGTTGGCTGAACTGTATAAAATAAGGCGTTCAAGGATGCAATTCGGAAGCGTAAAAAAAGACTTGAGGCATATGCAAGAGAACTATCTTCACGTAGCAGACTGACATTTGTGGTGAATTCACTGAATTGCTCTGGAAGCTAACATAGGTTGTTATTCTGGCTATGTGAAACCAATCTATCTGCATGAGTTCTATCATGATTTTAAACAGCAAATCGATGCGTTGCGTATGAGTTGTATCGACCAGCTTACTACACAGTCAACACTTCACCAATTTGGAATTTGAAACATTTTGGTGATAAGAATTTTATACCGACGTATCCCTGCGATAAAAGACTCACAAGAAAAACTGTTTTGTTCAGAGTAAGGTAAAAATATTTTACTCTCTGATTGCCTAAATATTCTTTGAGTATTTAAAACTGGCTCATATAAGACCATACATGTATGTAGTTAATGGGATCTACATTTTAGCTAGCGTGTGCAATATTTTTATAAGTAAAACGATGCACGGTAGTGAGGTAACTTAGTGATTAAATGTACTTGAAAGCCGAGGGAGATTTTGTAGTAAAAGTCACAAGACTTGTAGCACCGAGGGACTTTAGCTAACCTGCCAGGGCTTTCAAGTGCATTTGATTGCCAAATGTTTTAGTCAGTGCTTCACACACTGTTTATAAATTTGGATCTGCAGCTATTATTACCTAAGTGAAGATCTATTGATTGTCATGCTTTATTTTATCTCCATGTTTTTTATATTTTCACCATCATAAGTTGAACATTTGAGTTACCTTGCATGAGTCGCTTTTACTTAAAATATGTTCTTTAACAATTTTGGTTCATCATTGTTTTGTTTTCTTGTAATTGATTTTATTTAGTATTTGTTAATATTGCAACTAAAATATTAACTCGTTTCAGTCTCCGCTTGCTGAAATCAAGATGGCTTCTAACCTTGAACATTTCAAACATTACAACTCAATGGTTGAAACCATTGAACTTTAATCAAGTTACATTTGTTTCATCGTGTGCAATTCCTCTTTATGGATATCAAAGATATAGACAGTTATTCAAGAATGAAATAAAATATAGAATGTTTTCATTTGTTGATTTGACATACAGATTGGTTTGTTTACCTCCCAAAAAAGGGAGGAAATTTGTTCACAGCGAACATAAATGCAGTCTTTACAATGTTTTTTAGCTGTCTTGTCATAAATATCGAAAATGTTTAATGATTGATAATATTTTTAATTGTTTAACTAAATGAGTTTGTTTTATGCTTCATTAGAAACTGATGGAAGCTTTGAATAATTTTGGTCAAAACGGCAGATAAATCCTGGGATGGGGATGAAGCTTTCTATGTTTACAGATGTATACCATTGTGAATTTATAATTTCATTGCTATCACAATTTATAGATTAATATAAAAATTTTGATGCTATGAGATGGTCTCATCAATGTGCAACAATTGAACTGGATTTCCAACTTCCTGAGAGATTCAACCTCACGCTAGGTAAGTTTTGCCAGTAAGCTTTTCGTTGAATAACCTCACTACGGTCTTGATACTTAATTTATTTAACCAACAGTGACATGATTATTTGTTTCTATAGAAACCTATTGTTATATATTTATATGCTTATATATACTATATACTTATATGCAGCCTGCTACATTGCTGAACACTGAAAGTCCCACCTGCATTCAAACTCGCCATCAAACAAACCCACCCGCATATAAGTATAGTTACATTTAATATTGCAATGTTAACAGATAATTGCAATATAATAGTTAATAGTCCATGCATGTATCCCTGTGCATCCATCCCCCATGTAATATCATTGATAATGGCTCACAAACATATGTAAGCCTGTATTATAGTCAGAGGATTACGGCACAGTTTAAGTTTCCATGAAATTGTAGATCTTTACAAATTGTAACAATTTAGTAATTTATCAATATTCTATTACTCTATTGACAGTGGTGAAGGAGATATAAAATTACATCCTGTTATTATTCATCGAGCTATTGTAGGTTCAGTTGAAAAATGATTGCTATTCTTGCTGAAAGCTTTGGTGGAAAATGGTGAGTGTTTTCTTGGCTCATGCCAGAGCTTAAAGCAAATGAAATGTCCTTAAAATGTTAAATTAAAATGATACAAAGTTTCTTAATTGTTTGGAAATTTTTATCATTTTACTCTACTTTACTTTATTTCAAAATTTTGACGCACTGCATTTTCTGTTATTTTCTAGGATTTTATGGCTTTCTCCCCATCAAGTTGTAGTAATTCCTGTCAGTAGTAAATATGATGATTATGCCGAACCGGTAAATTTAATTTGGTAAGCCTTAGATCGAACTTGCACAGGCTAATGCAAACTCAGCTATGGACAAATTGTTGCTATTTTATGAATTGGAATTTTTTGTCCTTTTTTATTGACATTTTGGTCATGTTTAGATTCAAAAGAAGTTCCATGCAGCTGGTTATCGTGTTGATACAGACTTGGATCACGGATCAACACTAAATAAGAAAGTTCGCAATGCACAACTTTCACAGTACAACTTCATTCTTGGTATGAATAAGTCTTTTAAATTATTTTTATTTACTGTACAAATAAATAGAAATTAAAATGGTTTGGAACCACTGTTGGTGTTCAGAGTTTACTGACGTTTCCACAACATTAGTCAGGTTCGCCGTATTTGTTCTCTAGACGTCATGACAGAGAGGAAAATATGTGGATGTTTTAGTTTGTGTGGTATACTTATTAATTGTTCGCTTGTAAGCCGTTTATAAGGTGCTGATATTTGTATTCTGTTCAATGATTTTGTTTTGAGTTTGTTAACCTACTTTCTAACGTAAGTCGTTGTCTATAGTCAGTGCTGTTTGTAATGTTGTGCATTGTGATGCTCACTTGTCAGTACTCGTTGTTCTTGGTAGTCAGTTGATGTGCGAGTTGTAAAATGTAAGGTATTATCGTTTGCTGTTGTTGGATTGTTTGTTGTTTGTGTTTTGTTTGTTTGTTTTGTGTTCATTGTCTTTTAAGTGTTGTCTATTTTAAAAGCAAAATAGATGTTCATTTTATTACTAAATGCGATTGGTTAAATGGTTTTATGTTGTTTTTAAACAGTTGTTGGTGAAAAGAGACGGTCTCAGACACGGTCAACGTCAGAACACGTGACAACAAAGTACTCGGTGAAAAATCGGTCATGGCCGTGATCGAACGCTTGCGAGATTTAGTCAGCTCACGAAGTCTGACAAGCGAAGATTTTGAAGTAAAACAACATTTTATGGTAAAGATAAAATGAATTTACTCACAAAAATAAATTTGAATGTAAATCCCATGATGCGTCGCAATTATAGAAAAATAGGTACGCGTACATGCCACTGGTCACTGGCAAACTGGCGGCATTGGTCACTAATACTTTATCAGTGGTGGTAATATTGATTTTATCGTGGTGGTAAATTCTTCCATTGGTAATTTATGGCGATAACCATCAGCAACTTTTCAACTTTTACCATCAAGTTTTCACTCAAACGAGATCGCTTCTCTTCATATTTTGGCTTGTTTTTTGAGCTAGTAGGAGGCTGTGTGCGTTGATACAAGAAAAACTTTGTTGTGCAGAGGAAGGTAAAGATATTTTACTCGCAGAATTACTATATATTTATCAACAAAGTAGTTCATACTACAGCGATGAAAAATATAAAGCGTCGTATTTAACGCAAACCTTGGTTAAACCAGGGTTAGTTGACACATGTGCACTTGTATAATATGTCCAAATGGACATGTTTTGTGGAATTCCCTTCATTTGGTAAAATATTATCGCAGTGGGCCAAGATCGTCCCTCGTTTTGACAGTCATTTGCTATTCGTACTGGAGCTCTAGAATTTTACTGTTTTTAGTGGTAAATGTGACCAATTCCTCATTCGTTTTCTTGTTATTGTGTGATGCTTAACATAGCAAAACAAAGAGTAGCTATATAAATGTAATTTTCCTGCCACACTTACAAACATTTCATATGTCAGCTGCAAGACCCGTAACAGACTGTGACAAATTTTTTGTTTGGTGAAAAAAAATTAACATATCTTGTCGAGTCTCCATTTGTGAATATCCATTTGAGAAATGCTTGCAAGAATATGGGCTACAAGATTACAAGAATAGAATGCGGATTTGAAACGAAAGATTAGAATGCACATTGAACTCCAAAAACAATAGGAAGTAGGCTTTATAATGTGACTACAATTGACTACAGTTCATACATTGGTTCAATGGTTAGGGTATGGATTAGGTCAGGGTTAGATTATGGTTAGTGTAAGTGTTAAGGTTAGGGTTAGAATTGTTTAAAAGTTTCTTATAAACGTAGAAGTAGTCAAACTCATCAACACTTTGTTATGCCCCTCGTAATATCCGTGACAATGTTAAAGATGTTTTTATTTCTCTTCATAACTTTGTGTCTGCATATTTTCTACATAAACAAACTGCTTTAATATTTATGACAGATATTATAATTCGTAGATCGAGGTAGAAGAACTGCTTGAAAATGAAACTTCCAACATTGAAACAAAATCAAGCATGGCAGAAGAGAAACAACGACGCCAGGTTGAAGATAGCTTGATGAAATTGAACGTAGTTGAAGCACCTAGCATACGCTCGAGAGTTTTGGATGAGGACTCGCCAACCACTGAAAACATGAATGAGTCCAAGCATGTTTACGACGATAAAGGCTCTTGCGAGGTAGGCTGTTGCGACATATCGAATTATCGATAAATATCGGGGGTTTTTTAAATATCGGTTTATCGATATTGGTTTTTTCGGTATATCGATATATCGATGTACCGAAAATATCGAAAAATATGAAAATATTCGTTGTTACGATATATATAGTTATTATACATAGTTTTAATTGTGTTTTGTTGGTTTTAATAGCTTTATAGCGGTTTTAAATGGTTCTGTATACAATGTATTAGACAGACAATCTTGACCCAATCACACGTGCGGGTAATTGTCGGCTAAGGTTCAATTTGATCTATTTATGAATCATTGCGAACAACACTACAAAAACCCCAAAATATCCGAAAATATATCGTCATATCTATATTTTTTCGAAGCGGGATTTATCGAGCACAAAAGCGACGACACTTATCAATGGTGAAGGATTGTCCCTGTATGAAATATCTAAGTTATAAGATTCGGCTATGAAATGCACACTAAACGGCAAAATATGACGGAAAGTGGGTTTAGGAGGAAGGTATGCGAAATATGTTCTATCGTATGCCAGCAAAACAATGTAAATTTCTTGAAACAACGAAAATATAAAAATTCAATCTCTGCCACGAATATTTGTTAATTTGTGCAAAATTGCCATTTGACCATAGCTGGTGTATGGTAATTTCCTCAGTAAATATTAAACTCATGTAAATTTTTTCTCCCATGACCACCCCTAAAGTGAACTTTCGAAACACCATAAACACTACAGAATTGTTTGAAGATTGTTTTGGTGTCTGCTTATGAGAGGTTGTAAATAAGTTAATAGTAAGAGTATTGGCAGGGACCTAATAGCAGTGTCTGCTTTGGAGGTGTCCGTTAGTAGTAAAGTTCTGACTGATTTTGCTTATAGTTTCGTCTATAAAGTTTCTATAGGGTAACTAGTTTTATAAATGAGAACAAGTAGTTGCGTTCTGTTTTTTGGCTTCTTCTGTGCTGCAGTGAGTGTTAATTCTGTTGAAAAGTGTTCGAATGTTGCTTATTTTGTGTTGTGTGGAATGATTACGGTTGAAATCAAGTATTTGGTCTGTAAGGGTATTTATGCCGTATACTTGTTTGTTTAGTCTTGTTGTGTTTTTTTTGTCTTTAGTGAAGGTTATCTTCTTTGTAGTATTTTTATGGTGTGTAGCATTTGTCCAGTTTTATTTTTGACTATGGCAAAGATATCGTCTTTATATCTATTCCATAGTCTGTCTGTTTCATCTGTGCTGTTGGTGACTGATTGTGTTTCGAGGTTTTGCACGACAGCTTTTGCGAGGAAGGTGTATAGTGGTGACCCCATTGATTCGCTGAAAGTTGTCTATAGTATGAGTTTTAGAAGAAGAATTCAGTGGAGAGGCAAAGGTTGAGTAAGTCTAGGATTTTATTTGTCTAGTTGTGTTGTTTGGCTATGTCTAATGGTATGGATGTGAAGAGTGATGTCACATTGTAATTAGATATCATGATTTTGTCTGGTCAATAGTTCATATGTATGTGATCCTGGAATTAAGAACAAGAATTGGAATGTACGACCTTTAAGAAAGTTTTTGAAAACATGGGAAAATACAATTCACCAATCAAGTGAGTTCAATAAGTGGGATAAACGCATGAACAATCTTTGAGATTTAGGTGCGTGAAATATAAGTTTTGGAATTTAAGTGCTTTAACTATAGTCTTTGGATGTTAGGTGCATGAACTATAGTCTTTGGGAGCTCTTTCATGAACTATAGTCCTTCGGAGTAAGGTGCATGAACTATAGTCTTTGGTAATTAGATACATTAACTATTTTCTTTGGTGTTAGTTGCATGAACTAAACTCTTTGGGAAATAGACGCATGATCTTATAGTCTTTGCGAGTTACGTGCATAGTGTGAACTATTGTATATCGTTCCGTTTTGAGCATGAAGAAGAATTTTTGGGAGTTTAGTCTTTGAAGTTGGGTGTGGAAAGATATTCTTTGAAAGTTAAGTTTGTGAACTATAGTCTTTGGGAGTTAGGTACATGAACTATATTGTTAAGATGCACGAACAATATACATATATATAGATTTTATAGCCTTTAGGTGCATGAACTAAAGTCTTTGTGAAATAGACACATTAGCTATAGTCTTTGGGAGTTAGGTGCATGGAAAATTTAACTGTCTTTTCAGCATATGAAGTTACCCCACGATGACACACACACACTATGATCAAACGAAACATTTTTCTTGCGAGCGCTTTATTAGCGATTAGAACCGATGGAACTCGATTACCATTTCATTTATTTCAACGGTGTCATGAGATCGTTTAAGTCGCATGAACTATAGTATTATAGAAATAGACGCATGAACAGTCATTGCGAGTTAGCAAAATTACTTTGTGCTCAGCAGTTCGAAGTAGGTGGCAAACTACTTTGAAACAACTTCACAATTTGCTAAAATTCTAATTCAAATTATATAGCGGGGACAATCTAATTTCATAGAAAACCAATTGTAACTGAGCACGAATCTAATTAAACGACGACCTTCCAATTATGAAAAGTAAATATACATGCGCGAAAGCGGAACGTATTCATAACGCTTCTTCTTGTTTATAGACCAATGTTTCCAGTTTGGTAAGAACTGATCTTAGTGACTCCTTAGTGACTCCTAGTGACTCCTCAGTACAACATTACGTAATTTTTATTTCAGTTGACATATTCGTCGTGTTTTAAAGGCAACTTTTCAAACGAAGTTTGTGGAGTTGGGTCATCCTCCAGTTGGATGTTGCTCTCTAACTGTACCTAATTTATTTGGTCATTCACAGGTACACGTGACTTGTTTATATTAAACGGAGGCCTGGGCACTAGGTCATATTTTGCCATGTTATGTATTTGAGTTGTATCCACGCCTATTGATCACTTTATATAAACATTAAAATGTTTTCTTTTCTTGAACCTGAGAGGATGTGTTATGTTCTGAGGTGTTAAAATTAACTGTGAGATTGAAAAGTAATTAAAACTACGAATAGCTTTATCTAAGTTCCCCAAAATGCTTTACTCCCTATCCCTACCCCCGCCTTAAAAAGTGTATCGTGAAACATAATTGTTGTTTTTATAAAAGAACCGAGATGCTTTAAAAAAAATTCATTTTGTCTTACGGTGAATTTCCTTTAAATCAGGCAATGTCTGTTATTCTATGCAACACGAAACTCGACTGCGACATGGCAAAGGAACGCGGAATTGTCGCAGAAATTTTATCTTTCAAACATTTCGAGGAGGAGCTCAATTCACTTTTGGCGAGATCTTCACTAGTTTCTAGACAGGTTTGTGTGTCTATTTTTACGAGGGAGAGAGATTGGGCACTATTGGAAAGGAGAGGAAGGGGGTGGGCGGAGCTTAGCAACTAGAGAGAGGACACGGGACCTTTGAAAATGCAATAGATTTCTATTGTTATTCATGGACGTTCACGTCGAAGATGATGAAAACATTTACAGTTTCGAACTTTGAAAAAATCCCATGTCAGCAAATAGTAAAGCAGCATATTTAATATTGTAGTGCCTTCGAG